TGGCACAGGCCACGTGCCCTGGCCATCCTTGTGGGAACAAAATGGAGAGCGGCTGTCCCACGGTGGCTCTCCCCGGCCCACCCATCGTCCAAAGGAGGAAAGAGGGCCCCAGGGACCATCAGGTCTGCACCCAAGTTGCATCAAGAGTAACCAGTGTTACACGTTTACTATTCTATTTGTGGTGTCTTCCCTGCCTGAGGACAAGGACTCCACCCTCCAGAGGCACCAGGTCATCATTTGCTAGTCAGTGGGGAAGAAGGCAGAAGAGGAAGGTACCACCGGATCTCTAGTGCGCTCGTGGCTTACAGCTCCCTGCCCAGGGCACAACCGAGGCTCAGAGAGGGATGGCTGCCCCCTGGGTCACACAGCACTCAAAGAAGAGCCGGGGCTGGCCACACTGCAGAGGCCAGCTGCAGGAGGGCTCAGGGAGGAGGTGGGCAGGGTGCTGGAGAAGGGGGCAGAGCAGCCAGCACCCCTTCCACACTGCCCCTGCTCTGGTCTCTCTTCATGGTCCCGGGTTCCTCCTGCTCCTCTTACCGCCCGCCTTTCCCTAGACACCTTGGCTCTGCACAGAGTGAAGAGAGTCTTCTGGAGAGGACGAGCGGCAGAACCCGAGGGGGGAACTCATCTCTGCAGCCTCCAGGACCCAGGGCCCTTGAACCTTCCACCTGTACCATTCAGAAATCTGAACTCTCCCAAGCGCTCAGTCGCCCGGCAGGAGGTCAGCAGGCCAAGAGGGACAGGTGCCAACTCATGTGACCCTGCCCTTGACTTCTGCCCTGCCCTGGCACCACTCCAGCCAGCACCCCCGACCTCTGCGCCTTCTCTTCCTGCCCACAGTGGAACCCACGCTGCTGACCTCTCACCTCTCGGCTGATCAGTGCCCTGGTGGCCTCCCTCCTCAGCCTGGCGCTGCTGACTTGGCCCAGAAACCTCCCCATCCTTCCTCCCACCCTTCGGTCCCTTTGTGATAGGCACCTGTGCTCTGGCCTCAAACCGCCTGCTACTTTCCAACAGGATGTGCTTTCTTGCCTCGGGGACTCTGCCTGTGTCCTGCCCCTTGCCCAGGAGCCTGCCAGCACATTCCTGAGACCTGGAGCACACTGCACCCTTGACCTCTCCTCCCCAAGAGGCCCCACCCCCACGGCTCCCCCCCCCACTTCCGCTCCTTCCTCGGAAGGCCTCACACTCACCAGGGGGGCAGGAATGCACCTCTAATTCTGGACACACCCCACACACGAGCACGGAGCATGCTGGGCCTCCTGAAACCTAAGGGTCATCCAGCTCTCGTTGGTGTCGAGCATTTTGTTGAAGGAATGAGCTCCACAATGAGCACGGGACACAGCAGGAAAACTGTGGGAGCCAAGCGCGGTGGCCCATCCCAGCCGCTGAGGCAGGACGGCAGGAGGCTGAGGCAGGAGGATCAAAAGTTTGAGGCCAGCCTCAGCAACTTAGTGAGGCCCTGTCTCAAAATAAAAAATAAAAAGGGCTGGGGATGTGGCTCCGTGGTTAAGAGCCCCTGGGTTCAATCCCTGGTACCAAATAAAATCTGTTCGTTGCGGGTGGGGAGGGGTGTGGATCCCGGTGGAGCGCTTGCCTGGCTGCCCGGCCCTGGCAGCTCGGCTTCCTCTTCCTCCTCGCATTCCAGCCACAGAAACCCTTTCTCCTTTCCCCATCTCCCAGCTCCTCTTCGACTTCCAGAACCCTGCACATCCTCTGCTCTCCCTGTCCAGACTTCTCCCGCGCTCAGTGAGCTCCGACTCGTCCTTCAAGACCCAGTTCCTGTGTGCCCTTTTCCATGAAGCCTCCCAACACCTGGGCTGACTCCTTGGCTATTTTCTTCTTCTATAACCTTGACCGTGAGCATCTGGGCTCTGCCTCCTAACCCGACTCGGAGCTCTCTGCAAGCAGAGAAAGATTCCTCTTTAGAGTCACATTCTCAACATGAATCGTGATTCATAAGCAGGTCGTGATGAGAGCAATGGGAACAGATTTCTTAAATGTTTTCTGCTACTTGCTTAGTCTTTCACTTAACATCCCTGGATCAAAAGCAGGCTCTGAGACGGCTGCACAGAATGTCACCGGGATGTCTTCAGCCCCACAGACTGGCCCCGAGGCTGCAGCTCCACTGGGTGTCTTCACTTATCACAATTGCAAATGACTCGGGGACGACTCTGTGTATAAATCCTGTTGTCTTCTGGGATGATTTCTTTGGCACAAATTCCCAGAGGTGCTATGACTAGGTCGGAGCAGGCATCATTTGTAAATTCATCCCTAGGCACAAGTCACCAAAGCGCACCCAGGGAATAGCAGCAAGAGGGTGAGCCACATCACGAGGAAGAACTTGTTCGTTTTATTCTATCTTAGTTTATTCTGTTGTTTTGAACAGGGCCTCACTTGTTGCCCAGGCTGGCCTTGAACTCCTGGGCTCAAGCGATCCTCCCTCCTCAGCCTTCTGAGGAGCTAGTACAACACAGTCACCACTCCTGAGTTAAACTCCTTATTTGTTTTTTTTTTTTTAACATTATTGTATTTTTATACCTTTATTTAATTTGTTTATTTTTTTTTTGTGATGCTGAGGGTCCAACCCAGTGCCTTACACGTGCCAGGCAGGCACTCCACCACTGAGCTGCACCCCAACCCTCTTATACTCATTCTTAATCTGTAATTCAGAGCAAAGAATACCGTCATCTTACTGTCCTCCATTTGAATGGGTTTTTTGGCATAAGTGTGTCAGGGGTGGGCAGACCCTGACCATGAGCCTAATTGAGCCCCTTGCCTTGTATCAGGGGACTGGCAAGCTACGAAATATCGCTTCCCTTTTCAAATGGTGAAAATTATTTTGCAACATGTGAAAATCACAGGAAATCCGTATTGCAGCATCCGTAAATAAAGCTTTATTGGAACACTGTCACCCAGTCATTTACAGATCACCCAGGAGGCTTTGAAACCTTTGGCAAAGCTGAAGAGTTGGGACACGAACCACATGTGTCATACAGCTGAAAGTATTTACTAGCTGTAAATAGGTCTGTGCAGAACAAGTTTGTCACTCCACCCCAGCCCACCCTTGAATGATACGATGATCACTCAGCTGTGTCCAGGAGGAGAAAACTTTGAAGAAACACTTCTGTGTGTGTGTGTGTGTGTGTGCTGGGGATGGAGCCCAGGGCCTCATACATGCTAGGCACATGCTCTACCACTGAGCTGCACCCCCAGCCCCTTTTATTTTGTGTTGAGGTGTGCTTAGTTGCTGAAACTGGCCTCAAGCTTGTGATCCTCCTGCCTCAGCCTCCAGAGTCACTAGGATGACAAGTGTACCCCACTGAGCAGCTGAGGAAACCCCTCTAACCCAGCTGGGATTCCAATCCTCGACCGCTAACTCTTTTGATCTTTCAGTATCAAAAACAGGGTTAATCCCAGGAAAACCGAGGTGAGTTGGTCTCCCTGGGCTGGGCAGACACTCTTCTCCTTCGGGAAGCCTTTCTTAACCCCAGCCCCCACCACGAGGCCTCCTGCACACCTTCACAGTGGTCTCTGAGCCCTGCACAGAAGAGACCCAAGTACACTCGCACCAGGGAACAGAGAAGGTCAGTTCCTACAGGTGCAGGTCCCAGACAAGACTCTTTCCCAATCTCTGTCATGACTTGGGAACGCTGAGACCTGCCGTGGCCTCTCTGGGTGTCCAGGGGTGGGCTAAAGGAGGACTGCAAGGCTCAACCCTCCCGACTCCGGGGGCACCCCTGTGGGGATGGGCCCCACAGAGAACATTTGGGGCCTTCCAGGAAATACAGACAGGAGAGTCCCAGAACCCCACTCCTCTCCCTAGCCTCTGATGAGCGGCACATTTGTCCCCTTCCCAGGATACAGATGGGACAACCGAGGACCAGAAGGGCCTCCCCAGCCCGGGCGGAGCGAGCTCCAGGAGGTCAGGAGGAGCCCCGGGTCTCGCCTCCGGCTCCTGGAAGCCACTAGTCCGAAGCCAACACGGTCAGAACCAGCCTGGGCAGCCTAAACGGAGCGCCCCGCATTTTTTAGTTCCAAGAAGTCCCCTAGAGTTGCCAAGTCCAGGCTCACCCTGGCTGTAAGAGCCAGCCGAGCCCAAGCAGGGTTTGAGCCTCTGAGCAGCGCTTCCTCGGGGGAAGGTGGGATGAACGCTGGGCTAGCCCACGTCCTGGTCACCACGAAGACTCAGGAGGTTCCTCAGGCAAAACGTCCGGACAGCATCTGGCACACAGCAAGTGCCCAGTGAAGCCCGTGTTCACAGGGTGCAGAGCCAAGCACCGTCTGCATGCCCACCAGCCCAGCGGCAGCAGCCCAGGCTCCAGAACGCCCGGCCCCCTCGGCCCCAGGCCCTGCTCAGGAAGAGCTCAGCACAGCTGTCTTTCCATGACTGCCCCCGTCTCTCAAGCTTTGGTTCAAGGTCATTGTCATTTACCCGTCCATGATTCTTAAGCACTTCCAATGTTGTGCCATAGCACAGTCTGTGGGGCTGGTGACTGAACAACTCACTATGCCCGAAACCGAGGGGGTTTCTGGAAGGTGAAACTTTCAGTGCTAAAAATAGGATGATCCCAGGAATATAAATGATTTGTCTGAGCTGGAAGAGCCATGAGAACAAGCCAGCCATGAAGCCTTTCCTGATCCACCTTGACTGACTCAGAGGCCTCCTCTGGGTATCCTCACAGCTGCCTCTGTGCCCCCCATCACAGCACCATCCTTCTGGGTTGCAGACGCCTGAAGTCATCTCTGTGCTCTCTGCTCAGAGCAGAGGCCTGCTCCCTGCCTGGCTCTGCTGCGTTTCCTATCACGGAGATGGATGCCAAATAAAGACAAAATAAATGAATGAAAGCCGACACTCCCTGCCTAAGCGATGAGAAGACCGAGCCACAGACAGGCGAACTGCTCGAGCAAGATTCCCCAGAGAGGATGTGGAGCAGCCAGGTTTTGAACTCGCACCTCAGGAGGCTCCCACCCGCCCACCTGGCGCCATCCGACCTCACCGTGTTGTAGAACTCAGCCACCAGCTGTGAGTACTGGAAGTTGCTCTCACACCAGTCCACCTCAGAGCTCTGGTACGCCAAGATGCTGGGCATCCTGACCCAGCCACTGCCACCTGCTCACTGCGCCTGGCAGAGACGGGCGGCAGAGCAAGGGAGCCCGGGAGGGCCCGGCCCAGGTGAGGCGGGAGAGGACGGCTCCGTGCCCCGCGGCAGGCCGAGAGGAAGAACCTGCTGAGCAGCTCCCTGGTTGCGCCAGGGCAGCCTGGCTGATGCTGCGCAGAGACAGTGGTGGCCTTGGGCACCAACCACAGAGCTGGTGCTGCTCGGCGGGGGGGGGGGGGGGGGGGGGGG